CCATATAAAATATTGAGATAGCTCCCTGTGGGCACATCATTCACCTCCCCCATCCTTACAATATGACTTGCAATATATCAAAGTAAACGTGCTTGGGTTCCACTCCTGTGGTTGCATCCAGATTTAGTCAAGTAGGCCCATTACGATCAGTAGGAGTTGTTTGGCACAACTAACAAGCTCCAGTGATAACAGTGGACTTCTCAGAAGAAATCTGATTCCGACCCAACATTTTCCATTGCTTGGGCTTTCGTGCTTTCTCATGCACAGAGAGGTTTCTTAGTCCATTGCTCCTGTGAATCTTCATTATTCACCATGTTAAATAACTTTTTACACAATAGCTACAGTTCCTTACGTACAACTATCAAGATGGCTTAGAATGTTCAAACTATCTGTTCGGACAAAGGTGAAACAGCAGGGAAATCTGTCGCTTTCATGCCCTTGACTGTGGATACATTACATTTAGGGTGGCTAAATGTAAAATCTAGAAAAGCTACCACAGGAACTATTAATGTGCTGGCTTGGGCACGTCGTGAGAATGGCTGATGGTCGGATTCCAAAGGATCTCCTGTATGGAGAATTAGTGCAGGGAAATCGCCCCAGAGGGAGACCACGGCTGCGATACAAGGATATATGCAAGCGAGATCTGAAGACCTTAGGAATAGACCTCAACAGATGGGAAGCCCTGACATCTGAGTATTCAGCCTGGAGGCAGGCATTGCATCACGGCCTCTCCCAATTTGAAGAGACCCTTATCCAGCAGGCCGAGGTGAAGAGGAAGTCACAAAAGCAGCAAAAGCAGGGAGCTGGACAGAGGTCAGATTGGATTTGTCTTCAGTGTGGAAGAGATGGTCACTCTCGAATTGGCCTCCTCAGCCACACTAGACGCTGTTCCAAGTCCTCCATACAGAGCACGTCTTTCGAGACTGAAGGATGCCTAACTAATTAAAACTGACACATATTTGAGTTAAGTCCTTTGGGTCCTAAACTGTCTGCACCTCTGGAGACAATACTGCAGGAGCTATTTACAAAACTAATTGAAGGGCAATAAGCAAAGGTAAGGCATAAGGTCAAATTCTATGTTACAGACAGATGCTGAAACCTGCTATTAATCAAGTCATGTGGTTTAGACTGAGGGACCTTTGTGACTGAGCAATCATACCTGTAAAGAAAGCCTATGTTTAGTTGCCAAGCATCAGCCACTAAACAAACTGATCTACAAACTGCAGGTGGGATTAAGTCCCTGCTGTGACAATCACATGTGTTTCAGCTCTTGAGGAATTCCTTTTTCTACTGATGGGTTAGCTGTATACAGCTTAGCCCTTGGTTACATGGCAGTGAACATGCATCCACAGAGAACTTCAAGAAAGCAGCTGGCTGGCCATAAGGAAACAGAATATCAGCCCGCAGCCTGATCCCTGAGGCAGCTCTGAATTTGTTTTCTCAGCAGCTCAGTGCTACTATTCCCTTGTTCACAAATAGCACTAAAATGTCAGAACAGTATCAGGAAGAAGTAGGAAGGAAATTGAGACCCCACAATGTCTGGGTTTACATCACTGAAGAGAAGTAGAGATGGTAACTAACCACTATTCTCAGCATGCCTAGCTTCATGTTTTGCACCAAGGCACACAGCAGATACAATAAAACCTCAGGGCAGGAACAGATAGTGGCACTAAATCTGGTTCCCAGCTGAAGCAGTTGTTCCATGATTAGGAAAACACATATGTTGGGGTGGGAAGTTGGTGGGAAAAGGGTGGTCCTTTTTTTAAAAAGGCAAGAAGATAGACCCATCACTAGGGGCTCAATCAGACCCTCATTCCTCCTTTAGACACAAAGATGTGATTATTTCCAGTACAGCAGTCCTCTTAACAAAACACATGAAGAGGAAAAAGTCATTTGCAAGTAACCCACAAAGACTGGCGCCCTCAGTTCTTCCAGCCACCTCTGATAGAAATAGCAATATTAATTCACTGATAGATGGGAGGGAAGTGTGTCTGAATATTCATATTCCAAAACTTGGTCACTGTTCCTTCCTCAATCCACCCCCAAAAATGACTTTGGAAAGTTCTCTGAATTTTAAAAAAAGTTTGAAATATAGTTGATATAAAGTTAAAAATCAAACATTCATATTTACATGCCAGAAATAAAAAGCAAAATATATCTAGCATACAATGTCAACAAAGAAAGGAAAATAATTCTAAGGTGTTCTTTGGTTAAACCCTTTCTATTTCACAGAGCCCCAAGAATGTGTACGACCCATTCAATTCTGCTGCATCATGCTCTAAAACAGGGATAGGAAGCTTCTGGCCCTCCTGATGTTCTGGCCTATAACTTTTCTAGTGCTTTATCACTAGTCATGGCAAGTGGGGCTGATAGGAGTTATCAGCCAAGACATCTGGAAGGCCAAAGGCTGTCCTAATCCCTGAAAACGTTGGGTCACATTCAACAGTTGTAGCCCTATGTACACTTCCTCAGGAGTAATGACCACTGTCCTCAGTGGGCTTTACTTTTAAGTAATTGTGCACAAAAGGAACAGATAAAGCTATGTTTTCATGAGTCACACCCTTGATCCATCTAGTTCTGCTAAGAGCTGTTCATTGGCAAACTCATTTCAAGATCTCAGGCGGAGAAGTCTTTCCCAGTCCGTCCACCGGAGATTTATTCAAATAGAGAATCTGGGGACTGAACCTTGGGAGCTTAGGGTGCAAAACATGCAAGTCAGTTAGGATTCAAGTTCCTGCTGGCAGGCCTAAACCACAGAACCACATTTTCCTAAGGCACCCTGGCTTAACCATGAGGTTCTAGGTTTCCTTTAAGAATCACTGCTTCTTTGGTATGGTTTATATACAGAAGGTCAACACCAGGGAAGCTAGATGTGTGACTCTGAGCATCACTACTTTTCCACAGGCATGGCTTAGCAGAAGGACTTCTCAAAGTCGCTCGCCCTGATCAGGAAGCTGAGGAGCTGATTTCTGCCACATCCAGGTGACCAGGGCTCTGGCAACCCCAATTTGCTTTCCCCAGGCTTATGAGATCAAAAGTAGCAGAAGAACATTTTGCTTTGAAAATACTTTTTCAGGTAGTTGAAACTATGGTTCGTAGTCTGGTAATAAAACAAAATAAAAGTTTTAACATTTTTTTGGAAAAAGGAAAATGCCCCCATCTGGGCTGGATTTGCAGAGAAATGGGGCTATGCATTTTAACTTTTAACAGGAGCAAAGATTCCACCTGAAGATCTCTTTGGCAGATTAAGATCTAGATTTAAACTGCTTTAATGACACTGTAGTTCAGCAACCAAAGCAGCTTTTCCCTAACCTGGTGCCGTCCCAGTTGTTCACCGCAGCCCCTAGCGCTATAGTCCCAAATGTCCACAGGATACTGATTTGGGAAAGACTGCCATGACAAGCTCAACTGGTTCAGAAAGGTAGTTAAAATTCCAGCACGGCAGACGCAATTTGCTGGATTAAACCTAAATGAAGAGGTGGTCTTGCTTTCACTGTCAGAATGGCTTTATCCTAATGCTATTTACAGTTCTAATACCCAATGGGGAGGAAAAAATCTTTGGTTGTGGGAAGAGAATTCCAAGCAGGTTAAGAGGAGGTAGAGAAATTCCTCTTGTTCTGATTGTCTCAAGAAATGTCATAGTCCAAAAGTGCAGGACTAGCTTCTGATGTCAATTAAGAAATTGTTGCAAACCATATCTGAATCATGAGGTAAAATCTCCTGGAACGTTTTACAGCCCAGGATTCAAGGAGCTAAAAAACAGCCAGCTTCATTCCATTCATTTTAATGGAGCTTGAATCAGAAAATTGCTACTTAGCAGTTTGTACTGGTTCCAGTAGGAACAGGTGCCATTTTTTTGCTCTGTTTATCTTCTCTATATGCCATTAATGGATTCAAAATGGCTGCTATTGTGTCAATGTCTTACTTGCTATTTCTAACTTCTTGCTTGCTTAGGAGTATCCGATTTCATGGGGATAAATTTCCCTATTTATTTCAATTTGCCGTTTCAGAAGCCAAAATGGCTGCTCCTCCCCTCGAACAAGGGTGACATTCATATTATTTAACTTTTAAAAAACCGTACATCTTTTAAGGGCTTCAAGGGAATACACATAACCACCACACTAGATTTGGTCTGTAGCATTTGGCCCATCAGATTATAAAAAGCTTACATATAAAATGCCGCACAAATGGGAAGCAGAATTTGGTCCTTTGGAAATTAATATCACCATTAATAGTAATAAAATATCTATATCTCTGAGGCAATGCCAGAAGCAGCCAGTGACCTGGCCCAGACCTTCCTTGTAAGTGTCACATGTCAGCTCCTCTCTGTTGTTACCTTGCTGTGCCCACAATCCTGGGTTAGGTTGTGCAGTTGAGACATGAGATTCTGGGCCTGAAGCAGGGTTTCCCCCCATTTTTGGGAAAAAAAGTTCCAGTGGTTTCTTCAAAGGCCACCCTGGCCTAGCTTTTAAACTCCTCAGGACCAGCTCACAGCCTGCTCTGAGAGAGGACCACAGGATCCGCTGTAAACTGCTTCTCGAGAAAAAAACACAAAGTTGGTCCACAAGGCTAGTGCCGGACCCAAAGATCTGTAACTGGAAGTAGCTTTCCCACTGCCATGCATCAGAACCTCACAAGGATGACTGTGTCCATGTCATCTCCAGACAGAAAGATCAAAGTGCAGTTCTTGGTCCAGCTGTTCAAAAGACGAAGGCTCTGGAAGCGGCGAGGGGGGGGGGGAGTCAACCTCCTGCAGGCCAAAGGCACTTTTGAGAAGCCATTTTAAAAACAACAATGACAAAACGCAGAACAGTTTTTGCCTTTCAGAACTGACTCAGAAAGGGACCAGAGGGTGAGGGTGGATGGGAATCATCAGATATGTACAGATTAAAAAAATACACCTTAAATATAAGAGAATAACAATAATACTGTCGCATTAAGGCACTTCCTAAAGGTCCCTTTGGTTCTTCCACTGAAATATCTTGGAAAAGATGGAAGTGGTTTCTTTGGCAGAAGAGAACTAGGCCAGTCTGGCCGTTGGGATGCAGCATTAGCCAGCTTGAAAGGCAGGGCACGCAGGACTCTATGGAGAAGAAGAAACAGCTAGTAAGAAGGAGACCATAATGTCATCAGAGAATCAAATGCGGAAGCAGTTGCTACTGGTAGCATTTAAGGCTCTGCATGATTATTAGTTCATCATTTGCCATTTGGGGTGCGAGGGAAACAGATGGAAGCTCCATCCCTGCTCTTCCTCTGTAGTGAAACCTAGCAATATATTCAGCCTACCTCTCTCTGCACCCCCCCTTTTTTTTCAGGCAAGCCTGCGTATGATTTATTTAAAGCACATATAAGACATACTTTTTCTTTTATTTATATTCTACTTTGGAGGTCAGAAAAAAGAACTATCACCTTTCCCCACCAGCGCTCATATTTGATACGCCCACAAGGGGATGGTCAACAGTTGTGGCCAGCAAGGCTGTGCAGCAACTGCAAACTTTTGATCAGTATCTCCCACTTTAGGCAGAAGCAGCAAAGCAGAGGTTAAAGTCTCCAGGGCTTCAGGGAGCCATTCCTTACCCTCTGCTGCAGATGAATTGAGAGGGAGCTAGAGGCGGGTGGTTCTTGCTGCTATGAAGGGGATAAAAACAAAAATTAGGCCAAATCATTGAAAGGGGGAGGGGAAGCTGTTCTCCCCAGGGGTCTGGAAACCTTAGAAGCCTCTGGAAAAGTGGCAAAATCTGGAAAAATCAGACTAGTTTGTTTGCATGCCACAGATAGTGTGGCATGTGTGTTTGTGTGTGTGTGTGTGTGCGTGCACTCTTGCCACCAAACTCTCCAATTTTTGGCCTCCACGAGACACTCTGCATTTTTGCGCACTGTTAACTGGTGTTGGTGAGAAGCTTTGAATGAGTATGTTTGAGTTCTCCTTCCCCCCCCCTGCAAATTTGCATGCGCCAGGACTTTGCCCTGATCTCCCATGGCCTCCGAGCACCTCCCAGAGACAGGTGCTAGCCATGCACAGCTGTCTTCCTGCTTTTTCCACTGGGATTATCTCCAGAGAGAAGAGTGCCTCTGGGCTACCTCCTGCACTCTTCATTGTCTGCTGTTGAAGGAGGCTGGCAGTGCAGGAAGCCAGGGTGTGGATATGCCCTTATAACACCTTGGGCACAGGCCAGCTGAAGAACATTCAACCTATTCCAGATACAGTATACTGTAGTTGTTTTGTTGCTAAAGCAATAGTGGGAAATGTGATTCAGCTCAATGGGCTTCATAGTTAAGTACTCATACATGCAGCCTCATCACCTGTCCCCTCATGTTGCACAGTCTAAGGGGAACATGACCCTATAGAGTTAGGGGCAACTTCTCCATTAGTCTTGGGTTTTAAAATGGACTCGAGTTTCCTGAAAAAGGTTGTCTATGTTCTTCTTTTCCCCACAGTCAGAAGACGCTGTTGTTCCTGTACCAAGAATTCAGGTAGCAGCAAACCACCCCACCAACTTTAAAACAAGAGAGGATTTAGTAAGCTACTCTACTGCATTAGTGTGAGAAGGCGAACCTAGGAACAGATTACAGAATCAAAAATGCATGCAGATCAAGGCAGGATGCCCCTTGATGCAACCTCATCATGCCAACCATGCAAGGAACAATGAACATGGGGCCGTTCCTCTGGATCCATGCAGGGATTCTCAACAGTGATGAAGAAAGAACCGTGAATAGGATTTGGGATGACTCAATGGCTCCCACACTTTCCCCCCGCCCTTGAATATTGTTTCTGCTTCCCTTTTGAAAAAACCAAAAGGTTTCCAGCTCTCATGTTGGAACAAAGGTCTTTGAAAATGTGTACTGAAGAAACTCAGTGCTCCAGGGCTGACCGGGCACTGAGGGGAACACAGCACTCCAAAAACTTCTTGAAATGCAAAACAGGGTAGGTGCAGGGGGCCTGAAATTCCTACTTTTTCATATATAATTGAATTAAATGCCCTTGAGGTTCGCCTGACATATCTGGTCACCCTGCTAGGTGGATGGCAGGCAGCCTGGAAAAGGCAGTTCACAGAAGCATTAACTGCCTTCACGTTTTCTGAGGAACGCTGCCGGTTGGGCAAAGGAACTCTGAGCCCATCCAAGAGGGCAGCTCTCTGGGATCAAGAGGCACAGGTCTCCGGGAAGAGGTTGAGAAGCCCTGGGCTCACGGGGGAGGAGACAGGCAGGCAGGCAGGCATGCAGGGAAGGCGGGAGAGAAGGCTGGGCCTGGAGCCGCATGCAGAAAAGGAAGCAACGTTCCACAGGTACCTTTGGTGGGGAGGGAGAGTCGAGCTAACAATTAGGCTCGTCATGGTGGGACGGCTCGCAGAAAAAGCGAGACCCCCGCTTCGCTGTGCGGGCAGTGAAGGGAACACTCTTCAACACTGTGGGGTGGGGTGGGGTTCGGTGGAAGGGACAAAGACACACAAAACAGGTCAGGTTGCTTGAACACAGTGAATGGCTCCGTAAGAGTGTGTCTGCAGTCGTACTCTGACATTGATGCCGAACCTGGTGCCCCCTCCCCAGGTAGTGTTTGATTTACAACGCCAATCGCCAATGCCGATGGCCCTGCTGATTAGGGGTGATGGCAGTTGAAGTCCAACATTATTTGAGGGTACCAGGTTAGGAAAGCTGTCGTGTATTTATACGCCTACTGATCATCCAGTAAAAATGGCTTATATCCAGTGCTAAAAACCAGGGACAGTCAGAGTGGTGAATTCCATCCTATAACCATTGCCTCCAAAGAGACCCTTCATGAGATTAAAACCATGGGCTCCATTACATTTCTTTCTTCAATGAAGAAAGAGTTAAAACAGTTCTTTCCCTCCACTTCTCACTTATTCCCTGTCCTTCTCTTTCTGCCCTCACAGATATAGTATTTTGTTTCATCCTGCTTTTTAAACATTAAGGAATAGCAATGCTAGTAGTGTTGTTACTAAGATGTCTGAAGTAGGGTATCTTAAGGATTCAAAGAAATGAGCGGGCCAGAACCTACCTGGGGCATGGTTCCTGGACATTTAATGGATGTGGAAGCAGCAATGAAAAAGGGATGCAGGGGTGGCAATGGCTTTCTCATTACAACAGCTTCACTGGCTGCCACTTGGTTTCTGAGCCTTATTCAAAGTGCTGGTCATGACTTAAAACCCTTTGCAGCTTAGCTCCAGGCTCTCTGAAAGCCTGTATCTCCCCACATATATTATGATCCTCAACAGGGTGCCTTCTCTTAGACCCACCAACTTTTTGAGCACACCTAGTGAGGACTCAAGAGTAGGCTTTTTATATGACTACTCCCAAATTATGGAACTTCCTCACTCAGGTGATGTGGTTGGCTCCCTTCCCTGCTTTCCTTCCAATGGCAATGAGACTGGAGAAGCTGGCCATCTTTGTCTTGCAACACTGGACATTTCAATCAGTAGGGACATGTGATGAATGTACAGAGTAATTTTTTAGACCAAAGTTTTCTGCTGACCCGAGATGAGGTTCTAGGAATTGTAATTATGGGGTTCTGCAACTTTTCCTTCACCGAAAAGCAAAATCTTGTGGGACCGTTGACAGTTTTATTCCAGTATGGCTATATGTGGATTACAATCCACTTTTTCAGACCCACAGAGACTTGAAGCAGAGGACTGTGGTCCACGCAGGCCCATGCTGACATGTATCTGTTATTGTTAGAGCACCACAAAATTCTGTCTTTTTATAAATCAGTATCTGATTTATATGACCAATGGTATATGTTGTCTTGTGGAGTTATTTATAACTCCCAGCCATTCCACACACTGGCTGATGAAACACCAAATATGGTCCTGAACAAGAAATGGGGAAAGGAAAGGGGTGGGGTGGGGGCTTGTCACTTTTACTGGTTAAAAAACTGCTTAAAACCAGAATAAGACCGTGAAGCCTCACATATGTGCCATCACAGACAAAAAGTGACTTAAGATCCAACGCTTAAGATCCACTTAAGATTGGTCTTCTTTTTTTTCTCCCCACTATAGCTGCTTCTTATTTGTGTTTAAGGGGACAGACTGGGCAAGGAAATGATATGAGCAAGAAGCAGATGTGAACCCCTAAAAGATGTATACGTTCCCTTTTTATGGGATGGGCTTACCAGTGATAATGTCCTCAATGGTTCCATCTTTGCCCTCGTAAACAGGCCGGTGGTCCTTGGCTTGCCGCCGCCTCAACTCAGCAATCAACTCTTGCTGCTGCCACTTGTTGCGCTGCAAAGGTAATAAGAAGTTGGCCAGGAAGAAGAAGAGCCAAAGCACTGAAATCAGCCCCCCCTCCTGTTCCTCCCTCAGTCAGGCGCCACCGTCCAGACCTCAAAATGGTGAGGCACTCTCGACTGGATGTATCCACAGCATTTCCTTGGAACATTGTTATACATTTGTAAAGTGCACTATTGAGAAACTGCCTTGTGCTGAGCCAGGATACTTGTCCTGTGTGGACCAGTACCATCTTTTCCAGCAGTACACACATTCAAGCATCAGAAAAGAAATACAGTGGTGCCTCGCTTAACGATGTTGATTGGTTCCATAAAAAAAATGGTTATGTGAAAACATCGTTAAGTGAAACACCATTTCCCATAGGAATGCATTGAAAACCGGTTAATCCATTCCAATTGGAACAGATTAATGCTTGCAATCATTAGCCCACCTCCTGAAATCTAAGCAAACTTAATTTGGTGTTGTTCTGAGTCGTTGTTAATTTTTGGTGATTTTTTGTTTTCTCTCTCATTGAAATGCATTGGACGGACAGTTCAATAGAGTTCAATGAGGGAAAAACAGAAAATCACCAAAAATTAACAACGACTCAGAACAACACCAAATTAAGTTTGCTTAGGTTTCAGGAGGTGGGCTAACGATTGCAAGCATTTAAAACAGGCTTCAAACAGTTTAAGACACTTTTACAGGAGCGAAAAAGGGACATCGTTAAGTGAAATTCCCCCATAGAGAACATCGTTAAACGATGGGGGAAATTCCTCAAAGAAACCCATCGCTGTGTGAATTCATCGTTGTATGAAGCAATCGTTGTGCGAGGCACCACTGTAAAAAGGGAGAAGGGAGCCAGAGGAGCCCTTCCAGGGCCACCTTCACAAGAAAGTGCTGCTGCTATCCAAAAGCTTGTGTTCGGCTCCTGGACACAGCAGAAGAAGCCACTTCCTTGGGAGCACATAAATGTATGCACACAAAAGCACTCCAACATAAAAAAAAAGAAGCGGCAGAAAACGGAGGAAAGAAAGGAAAAAGAAAACCAGAGCTTGGATAAGTTAATTTATTGGACTACAGCTCCTAGAATCCCTCAGCAAGCACAGCTGGTGGTCATATTTGCCAGCATGCCACAAGTAGCTTTTCCAGCCTCTGTTTGGAGGTATTTCCCAATAGCAGAAGGAATACTATGGGATAAGAATTCACTTAAATGTCACCAAGCCGAAAAGAAAGACTAAGCAGAAGTCCCATGGAGATGAAGGCTCATTGTTGCTGTTCTTCCCATTTATTTATATATGAAGGACCTAGTACCTCACCATAGTTTTTTTCCCCCATTTGCTCCAGGGGTGCAGCCAAGGACAAACAGGCCCTATAAATATATCCCCAGAGCAGCTAGGAAAGTGGGAGACTGAACAGTACTGTGAGTTTGTTGAAAAGAAGCTGTAACAAGTCTTACGATTGGTCAACACTTCCTGGAAACCACCACTCTGTCTCTCACATGCTGGTCTATCCCAGGGGCTTCCAAATGTGGTCCACTGTGAGAGTCCCATAATCTCCACCAGCACATCCTTGAGGGCATCAGGTTGGGAAGGCAGCATTGACTGCTGGACACTTTGCCCTGACTCCTACCTTCTCCAGCCTCTTGGCTTCTTGGGCCAGTGCCTGCTCCCTTTGGGCTTGCTCCTGCTTCTTCCGCAACTCATTCTCCAGCTCAGCATCCTGGAATAAAAGGCAGAGTGTGATGGGGGAAACAGCCCAGGCCATAGTTAGACATTCACAGCTAGGCATGAATGTCTCTAATGCCAAGTCTGACCTTCAGTGCACCTTGTTCTTGAACGGGCAGTGGGGCTCTCCAGACTGGTCTTTGTCAACCCTTCTGTGTCCTGTCTGAAGGGAAGGTATCATATCCTGACTCACCAGATGGAAAACAGGCATTTGTGTGTTAAAATACAGGCCTTAGGGATTAGAGATGATAATGATGATGATGCACATTAATATCTATGTCCATTTGGTGAGTCAGGGTGTGATTTTTTTTATACCAACCCTGCTGGGATTATTCAGCAGGGGAGGGAACTGTGATCAACTGAAGCCGAGATGCTGATTGACCACAGACTACCATTGTTATGGTCCTTGGGATCAGGTGATCCCAGAGACCCAATCTCATGCTCCTATCTGCTGTAAAGCTCCAAGATATACCACACTCCCTCAGTCTGAGAATCCTGCCACTGAAGGAAACCACACCAGATCACCAAGCACTGACAAAATGTTTTTTCTGCCTATCTGCCTGCTTGGGTGTCACTAAGAGCTGTACTTTCTCACTGATCAAATCCAGGCATCTGACAGACTCCTCCATCAACAGGAACAGAATTTAGAGGGATGGAATGGCAAACGCCAACTACGGCCGTTTATGAATATAGTTTGACTTTGATAGGGACACAACAGCTTTGGAGGTGGGAATATATAGAGATCCCCATTAGTAACAAAGAGACTGGAGAGGACAGGCAGAAAGGAAACTGTAATTCTGTCACCCATTGGCCGCACCTAGGCACAGGCAGAGCTACTTCCTGTTTGGAACAATAGCAGGAAGAACTGGATGGTGGGGTGCTGGGAACCAAGCTCCCAAGTTCACACATGGTAAGCTGTACACCTTCTAAGGCCAGGGACCTCTGACTCCCCTGCTCACCTTGTAGGATCGGATGAAGCGTGCGAAAACTGGGAAGAAAACAGAGGGCGGTGTTGTCTTGGGACTCTCACCAAAGTAGCGCACAACAGTGTTGTAGGCCTCCTGCCAACAGGAAAGCAACATGAGTGGAACCTGACAGTAGACTTTGTCCTACATGCAGTTCGGGTGCGAGACAAGGATGCTGCTGAGCCAGTTGGCAGGGCTATGACATAGTGGGGAAAAGGCAATCCTGGAACCAAGAGGACTTCTGACATGCATGTCCTGCACATACAAACCTGGTGTTTATAATCTACAGTAGGGGCTCTCTATTTGTGGGATCGGTACCTGCAGTTTCTCTTATCTGCAGTTTCCTGCATCCTTATATACAACATACAAGGGTGCCCCCCCTTGTGGTCTTCATTCCACCCTTGTAAGTTGCATTTAGGGTTCCATTATATCCAGTTTCAGGCAGCCATGGTAGATTGTGGAAGTGATCCCCCCCCATGGGTACGGGGGCTACTGTGCTTTGCATATCGGACTGGTACATTAAAGTCATGGAACATGGATGGACTGCTTGCAAAACCCAAGTGCTGAAATGCAACCCAGGTTCCATTACACACAAGTGCCATCAAGTAAGCATGTATTAGTCAAATCTGAAAGTGGGTGCATCTCCAAAGTTGCATGCAGCTGATCAGCTGGCAGGATTTCCATAAGTGAATCTAACATGCAGCTTTTTGTAAGACACAGGCAATTTAAACGTATATACTGTATCAACTAAATACATTGAAAAATGCATGCACGATGTACATGGAAATCTCCAGGAATTTCCTCTGCCAGTCCCCTCGTTGTACGGCCCCTCTTCACTTACCTCCGCTGTCTTTGCATCTTTTTGTAGCCGGTCCAGCTTCCCCTCATTGGCATTCAAGAAGTTGCGCAGGATGCTGTGCTCATGCAAGCTGCACTCCCGTCGGATCAGCTCCATCCCACGCCCCAGCTCCTTGACATCTAACAGCACGTTCTCCAGGGATACTATGGAGGAATGGAGGGCACGGGGTTGGTCTCGATGAAGCCTTGGGCCAGTGGGCATCAAACAAGTTTCAAGGCTCACAGAGAGAGTGCCATAGGCATCCTCTAGGTGAGGGGAAGGCAGCAAGTAGATCTAGATTTCCTTAGAGATCTGGGGGTGCTTTCCAGTAAATCACTCAGGGGCCCAAACTCCCCTGAGTGTAATAATAGTAGCAATAAAATGTCTATTACTATCTGATTTAGTCTCAGAAAGGAAGAAAAGCTTTGAGTAATGAGGAGAAGACTTTTGTGTCCAGATCTGAAAACAAAATGTTGGGCTCAGACTACGTTCACAGCTACCCTGTTCTTTAATGCCATTTATTTGCCTTTTGCACCGGTCTCCAATTGGTGCATCTTGGGGTTTAATTAAAAAATAAACCAGGACTGATCTGCCTTAGGTCTGCCTGTTCCTGCCTGGAGCATGCCAACGTGCTATACAGAACTGCACTAGTATGCTCATCATGGACTTAAAATGGCTGTGCACAGAAATGCCTCCCACTAAACTTGACTTCACACATGCATGAATGAGCTACAGACACACACACACAAAAATGAACCCTTCATCTTAGAACTCCTTTCTCTCCCTCTGGATTTCAATTAAGCCTTTGCTCAACTGAAAGGGGCAAAGAAATTCCAAGAAAGTGCAAAACTAGGAGATTCTCATTTTTTAAAAAAAATGCTTTTATTCGTTCAAGCAAATTTCTGTGATAAATAATGTTACTCCAACTTAAGGTTTTGAAAAATGATGTGTGCTCATTTAAATATTTATCCAAAGCAATTTTATTCAAAATAATATCATTTTAAATATTTAAAACATTATTTTATTAAGTGTTGGTTTTTGTTTTTATTTTATGTAATTTTTAAAATTGATATTTTAAAAAATATTTGTTTTTCTTAATAGGGGCTTGGATGACAGTAACGGAAAGGAGGAGAAATGGAGGGATTCTCAAAAATCAAAAAGGGGTACAACGCCAAATGAAGCTACCGTCTTAATCCATCTCTCCCGCTGAACTAAACCCCAGATGTGTTTCCCTTTGTTTGATCCCATTTTGATGGCAGGAGGTGGAAGGTCATGTGTGCTTCTAGCCTACACGGCCTCTCAGCACATTCACTTTCCCCAGCCCAGAGATAAGGAGTAAGAAAGGACTAGATTTTTTTAATCCACTGTGTGAAAAGAAGCATCATTGTTCTTTACTGTATGTTTCCTATAACAAACCCAGTTCAAAGCTGCAGAGTTCTTTCTCCACTAGGGAACTCAAGACAGCTTTCTCTGCAGGCTTCCACAGCATCTCCGGGAGAGGGCAGTGTTGGCCTGTTTTCCATTCCACCAGGCATAAATGATGCAAATAAGGAGAAGGTGCTTCAACCACAGCCGACAATGCCCTGAATTCCACTGCTCCCAACCAGAGCAGACCTTTTTAATCAATGGGTTTTTGCATACATGCTGACTTACCACTTCATAATTGACTCAACAGGTCAATGCTAGTCAGGACTAGCAATGGATTTTAACCAGATACTGTATAGCAATTTTCAGGTGACTTCAGGGGCCAGTCCAGATTTGTCCCTATGGTGTAGAAGTAGGAACATCTGGTCCTCTTAAGATGTTGTTGGCCTGCATAACACATCAGCCCTAGCCAGTGTAACCGATGGTAAGGGACGGCTGGTGCTACACCTAGAAGGTCTGATGTTCTCTGCCCTTAATCTATGTGATGTCTAGAATCCTACCCCGCAAAATCAACTCATGTGGTGAAGGTCCCACCTGCAGCTGCCTTCTCTACAAAGTGCAGTTCTTGCCAGAAGTTGCTCAGCTCCAGATATTTCTCCTTCACTATCATGGCAATGAAGTGCAGAAGGGTCAGCTTCCGGTCTGTCGACTTGGTGTCCAGCAGCTTGTGAGGCAGAGGTGGGGAAGAAGAGAACGTCAAGGCACAAGGACATGGGCCCAAACCAAGATGTGCAAAAGCAGAAAGTGCGTGTGCACATGGGAAGCCAGACAACCGTCGCACAGGGAAGTGCAGATGCACAAGCATGGGTGGGCTCTCAAGTATACAACCGTGCAAAGGATAAGGGAAATTGCTGTTTTGAATGCAAGACAGGAACTTTAAAATAGATGAACTAAGCCTGGACATGCAGGATGAGGGCACACAAGCAATCACTCTAATACAAGAAAGAGGATATGGCTTCTTGCCCACCTTGGGTCTAGACCCAGGTTGACAAAGATTCCACTTCCTGAAGACCTTGCCCTCCTCAAATCCCTTTCCTCTAAAGTAGGGGAAGATTCCCCCCCCTCCCCCTGATCCACATTCCAGATGGAATGGCAAGTGGCTTGTCTGGGGAACTCATCTCCATTCACCGGCAAGACAGGACAGGACAGTCTTCTACCTAGGTACATGTGTAACCACCAGTGTGTGGAGAGATTCTGCTATACAAATGTATGTAGATGCACATTCGTGTTATGCTACCCCCGTTCTCCTTACCAGATCAAGGCTCTGAAGCTTGAAACCATAAACAGAGCCACGTTTGCTGCTGTTCATGTAGTTGCCAAGAGCCAGAATAATCTAAGGAGAGAAAACGGCCGATAAACGCAGGGCCAGAATAATTTCACTACCTCCACAGAGACCATGACATTTGACCCAGAAGCTCTTGTCACCTCAGTAGTGAAGGCAAATATCCTTTGCAGATGGTCAGTAGCACTTCACTAGGGTTAAACCCTAGCATTCGAAAACAGATTCTAGGCTAAATGGAGGCTGCCCCACCCCAAGCTTCTCTCTTTGCAAGCGCTTCCATCCCAACAGAGCAACCCACCTCCAGCATACGCTTGAGCTTCTGTGAAGACTTGACAGATGCGGAGGCAGCAATGATGGCACTGAGTTGCTATAAAGGATAAAAACCAGAACACCATAACAAGCATTGGTATTTGTTTGGTACGAAAACACATCCTAGTTGGTGTAAAAAAGGGGAACACGTTACAGTATTTCATTGAGAACTGCCTTCTCTTAGGAAAAATCTGTTGGGGGGCAGGACCACAATGGGCAGCAGGAGGGGCTAGAGACAAAAGTAGGTGGATCTCTCTCTCTCTCTCTCTCTCTCTCTCTCTCTCTCTCTCACTCACACACACACACACACAGATGCACGCGCACACACGAGCACACACACAAGCAACTGCCTCCTCCCTCTCCCCCCTCTCTTTCACACACACACACAAGCAACTCTTCCCTCCCCTAGAGAGAATTATTACTCTGGGCCAGGAGTCTGAATTAAAAGGCTTTTTGAAATTAGACCAATGGCCACATTCTACTCTAGGTCAAGTGGTTGCCCACCCTTGCTTAAAATCATTCAGAATTCTTGCCATATCATCTAAATGTATACTCAGCACTATGAGCATAACTGGGCCGTTTTCCACTGTTCTAAGATGAGCCTATACGCACATGATTTAATTCTGTTTGTATTCCAAATAATGTTTTCTCACATTTTTAAAAGTACAATATACTATTCTTTACATTCAGAGGTTAGCAATGTATGATCTTCCAAATGCTGAACTGCAACAACCCCCCCCCCGTAGAGCTAATAAAGTAGACAAGCAGATAGATAGGTAGGCAGGTAAGTAAATACGGAAGAATACAGAAGAGCACTGAGAGAATTAGTGGCAGGATAGGAGTCCTCTCTCCCCATTGCACCCTTATGGCATAATAAATCCCCCTCTTGTCTAGGGCTGAGGCCAGAACCTAAGAGTGTGGCTTTCAGCCAGCAATGGCAAGCCTCTTACCGGCATCAGCATCTGAATGTTTTCATTGAAGTTGCCCAGGAAGGCCATAATGGCCATGCGTTGGGTAAGGCGTTCCACCTTGCTGAAGTGCAGCATGAAGCGGTCCTCATCTGACAGATCCTCCAGCGGCTTCCGCTCCTTCTCATACTGGCGCAGTAGCTTGACCTCATTCTCTGTTGGCAGGAAGCGCATCAGGCACTCCACAAAGTCTACTGGTAGAGTCTTCAGGTCAAATCTGAAACACAGCCCACCAAACTCAGTGTCACGAAAGTAGACTGCTGCACAGAGAATAGGACTTTCCTTCTTAGCCCTTGATGCCTCTTCCATCACTACCATGAAAATCTGCACCGGTGTGTGTGTGTGTCCCTCAAACCTCAAGAGCAGATTCTGAGAGTA